AATGTCATAAAACAGCATGTGTGTTACTGTTACATGAGAAACTATCTGTTCTGTAAGCCTTCACCTGAAGTACAATAAAATATTAAAAAAAAAAAATTGTATTGTTATAGCATTTACTGAAATTGTCTGTTTTTCTCATGTACTTCTTCGTGTCTTTATTTACCTTGGTCAAACTGTGTTGCTTATTATAATTTTTCATGGCACATCTGTAGTTGCACTTTCCCATCTTTCTCTTTGTCTGAGTGTGTAGCATATTTGTGAAAGAAAGAGTGACATTATTTAATATGTCCCTTCTTGACTAAACTGTAGGATAACAAAGGACAGGGGCCACTACTACCTAGCACTAATCTTAACGTAGTGCCTGACACTTAGAAATCAGCCCATAAATATTTTTTAAATGAAGGAAGTAATGAATGAAAGGAGGTATACTATTTATATCTCCTTATGTTTCTTTATTTTAGACTGACGGACAGCTGCACATGATTAACAGGGAAGAAACTAATAAACAATAAGAAGAGCTCACTGGTTGGAATATGAAAGAGAGTATGCAAAATATTCATAGAATCTGTTTAGATAATGACAAGGTGGTTTTGAGAAACAGGAAAATTGGTGAATATGGATCAGATGACTTAATACATCCATGAGTGAGGAAGCTACGAGTGGGCATGGAAAGGAGTTAGAGTAACAACACATAGCCTGGATATTTTACTCTGTTGAGCTTCAGTGTAAAAGACCTTATTCATTCATTCAACAGCCATTTATTGCATACTAAATGGCATGTAGAGTATATAAAATTTCCATTGCAGCTAGACTGGGTTGCTGGGCTTTCCTACCTGATATACTGTGAATGAAAATGGGTAGTTAAGAATCCCAGTCTCATTGTTTATACTGACCCCATGTTAGTCTCTTCTGGTACGGTCTGATGTGATTTGGGATGGGGAAGGAGGAACAAGGTACATGAACACATGTCCGTGTCATGCTGAAATGAGACTGTAGCTATTGTACAGTTGTGGAGCTTGGGGAGAGTCTGCAGGAAGTGGGAAGGACGAGTGCCAAGGTACACACAGATGTGCACTTCATGCAACACGCTGCCTTATTTCTATCAGTCATGTGTACACATACAGACTACTAGCATCTGAAAAATACAGAAAAACTTGTTCCGCATAGTGCACTGAAAAATAAAATACAACTTGTTCTGCAGTCTTAGGTTCATCGAAGTATGTATTATCTAGTATCAACTGAAAAAGGAAAGCTCAAGATTTTTGTCAGTCCACTGGATGATCAATGCTTCAAGGTAATTGAGAAAGGGAAAGATTTTCTTTAGGAACTGTAAGGAGCTCTCTGGGCAATAGTCTCTAAAATTACATCATTAAAAAAGGAAGCAAACATATTTGGTTAGCCCTAAAACAGAATGTCAGAATATCACACATAACCTCTTGAAAACACTTCTGGGATGTCAATCATTAACTTCATTCATACACACTTACCATTTCTGAATCTCTGAAGAGATATTTCTAAAATTACCTTATTTTTTAGAAAGATTATTTTTTATACTAATCTATGAAGAAAAGCAGCACATTTGAAATATAAGTAGTGATATTCACAATGTTTACCCCCTCAATTAGAAAACCATACGAAGAGGAAGAACAGTACTATTCTCAGGTGTGGATGGAAGCATATTCATCATCTACTACCATTAAATGTCACTCAAAAATGACATATTTTGCGTCAGCATTAATGCCTACAAAACTGAAGACCCATATATGCAAATAGGTTCCCAAGAGTCTAGTACTAATAATCAAGAATCCTTAGAACAAGTAAACATTTTAGGCCCTCAATTACGCTTTTCAAAGTTTCAATCACCATGCTTATCATCACTTTTTATATACAGTTGCTGTGTTGTTGTTAGGTGCTGTCGAGTCGGTTCAAACTCATAGCAACCCTATTACAACAGAACCAAACACTGCCCAGTCCTGCTCCATCCTCAAAACTGTTATGCTTGAGCCCATTGTTGCAGCCACTGTATCAATCCATCTCTTTGAGGGTCTTCCTCTTTTTCACTGACCTTCTAATTTACCAAGCATGATGCCCTTCTCCAGGGACTGGTCCTTCCTGATAACATATACAAAATATGTGAGACAAAGTCTCACTATCCTTGCCTCTAATGAGCATTCTGGCTGTACTTCTTCCAAGACAGATTTGTTCATTCTTCTGGCAGTCCATGGTATATTCAACTTTCTTCACCAACACCATAGTATATACAGTAGGCACTCAATAAATTACCCCTTGCTATCAGGCCCCACTGAAAGAACAACTAATTATTCCGCATATGGAATTATCTTAAGCTATTACAAAGAAATAGAAACAGCACACACAGATGTTCAATATAGATTCTTATTCCCAATGGTTATCAATCAGTCTTAGGAAAATACTACTTGAAAACAATATAATAGAAAGTTCAACAAATGTCTTGAAACAAAGCCTATCAGTAGATTTCATTCAGCAATTCAATGATTTTAAAAATATTTATTGAGTAATTCCTTTGTGCCCAATGCTACTTAACTTTAGGTGCTAGGGAGATAGCATTGGATAAAAACAAATATCTCTTTCTTCCTGGGACTTTTATCACAATGGAATGCAAAGCAGGAATTAGTATGAATTCTATTTGTATATAAGGTGTATTCAATTATCTGTTTACTCATAATGGATTCTTCACCTTCCTCTGCTGAAGATGGCTATCAAAAACCTAGCCCAGTACTACCTGAGCTAATACTATTGTGAAATGCCCCCCACAATGTAATTATTTTTTCTGCCACAATAAAAGTCTGAACCATCAAGTTTAACAAAAACAACATCAACAACAAGAAGTTTAACCAGTGCCATCTGGCATTATCTATTTTCACAGAATATGGTAATGAGAAGCTAGACACAGAGTCTGGGTAGGTATTCAGTCTGTCCTGAGTCAGCACTTTATATTTTGTAAAATAGATTTATTCTGAAGGTCTAGAAACTCCCAAATAAAATATCCTAAAATAATGTAAAACAAACTTTCCTCATAAATGCAGTTGTCCCCAGTGTTCTATTTTTTTTCTGTATATATTTCTGCATATGGATACACCAGGTTAAAATAAGTCATTCATATATATATGTATATCTGTGTGTATACATACACATACACATGTACATATGCATGTCAATAATGCCAGACACACACACACACACACACACACACACACACACACACACTTGAAATCATTATGCTCTGTTAAAGAAATTACCTTCTGCAGTATTTCCTCATTTCTTCCATATGGCCCTCACGGTTGGGACAGGTTGATATGAGAGACTCAAGAGAAACATAAACTGCATCTCCAAATGGTTATGTTTTAAATGTTTGTTTCATTGGGACACTAATCTATTAAATACATGATTTACTGGTTCCAGTTTCTTCACTATGTAGGGAAAGCTACATAATGAATTATTCAAACCTTCTCTCTTAGTCCTTGTTGACGACTCAATCTTACTCAACATGTATGCTCATGGTGCCCACTGAGTACCAAATCCAAGCTTAGATCTACAGATATTGTGGAATGCACAATGAAGACTGTTTTCTTACAAAGGTGTCAGTCTCACAAGGGATAGCACACATACATATGTTTAGAAAGTATTAGATATAAGTGTGAACAAGCAGGTTGAATACACAGCCCTCGAGAAGTGGTCAGGTAGAGAGCCTGCAACCTACCACCTGTGTCTCCCAGATCTAAGAATTCTTTGATGGGACAGAAAGTCTAAGAACCAACTAAAGCCATGTTCCCAAAGAGCCAAAAAAACCAAACACTTTGACGTCCAGTAGATATCGACTCATAGCGACCCTGTAGGACACAGTAGAACTGCCTCATACGGTTTCCAAGGAATCAATGGTGGATTCAAACTGCTGACCTCTCTATTAGCAGCTGAGCACCTAACCACTGCACCAGCAGGGCTCCTTTCCCAAAGTACACAGAGACTTAAATACAGGCAGATCTCAGGCAACTGAAAAATAAAATGGAAAAAAAAAACCCAAAGATAGTAGAGACAAAAATAGGACTACGTCGACACTTTCTCCTTGATATAGTCAAAAGTACTAAAAAAGAACTGAAAAGAGAATAGCTTTTTACTGCATGACTCAATGTTATCTGATGTCATGTCCCAGCTAAAATCATCTCATATACCACTATGCATATCGCACACTGCCAAAGACTACACCCTGAAATGGTCACTCTCCTCTGGTACCTAATGACATTTTTCCCACCATGCTGTGAAGTATGATGTAGAATAAAGGCTGAATGTCTTGCTACTTGAAATGAGGTGAACTGTGGCAGTACACAGAAATGCAGCCAGAATGAATTAAACCTCAGCTTCACCATTATACTAATTGTGTGACCTTTAGCAAGTCATTTAAATCTCTTTCTATACCTAAGTTTCCTCATTTGTAAAAAGAGGCTAATAATAGTACCTAGTCATAATCTTCACGTGAAAATTCAATAAGTGCATATATGAAGCACATAAAACAACACTCAGATCAAATGATTCCATACGCAGGTACTATTATTATTATTATTTCAAAAAAGGAGGTGTGAGTGACCTCATATGCAACGTTTTGAATCACTGTCTTTAAAACTATGATACCACTCATTTGTTTGATATATTCCTAGACAATATTTTAACAAAGCTATAGTTAAATAAATTCAACCCACTCAGATGAAGTTTCCTTACAGGGCATTAAAGCAAAAAACGTGTACATAGACATGTGTTGTGTATGTATTATATACTCACACATAAAATTCCTTCTATTACTCACATTCTCATAGAGAGCTTGAAGGGTCTCCAGGTCAACCACAGAATTGTCCAAGTTCACAACAGCTGTGGGGGGTGGGGGAGACAGAAAAAGAATATAAATTGTCATAAGCCAGCTGTGAAAAGATGCTTGACCATCACCAGCAATAACATTCATGACCCAGAGGTCAGAGAGTGAAGGGGCTCTAAGTTCAATGCTTCCACTTGCCTCTTAACAACAATCATGCCCCAGGAATTTATCAAGGCAGGTGTCAAGTATTAAAGCTTTCACTTCCTCCACAAATAACAAATCCCATGAGTATGGCCCAAGTCAAAGGTCAGAAAGAAACTGTGAGTCTGTTTTTCAAGGCCCAACTGAACAAATTTGAAAAATCTGCATAATACCAGAAAAATAGGGAAATCACTCTTGTCACTGCTACTTCCTAACTTTATACCGATAAATGCTCGTATCTGCCAACTTACTTCAAGGCATCTGACAAAGGTTAAATCTAATCATTAAACTGACAGATTCAGTACAGAAATAACAGATGCACTTCCTATAATAATTCCTTAAATTATTATAATCAACAAACAATATTTTGATTATAGGATTGAGATTAACACAGATCTATCCTTAAAATACAACTAAAACCTCCTGGCGTCTAGTCCATTCCGACTTATAGTGACCCTATAGGACAGAGTAGAACTGCCCCATAGGGTTTCCAAGGAGTGACTACTGGATTCATACTGCTGACCTTTTAGCAGCTGAGCTTTTAATCACTGCGCCACCAGGGCTCCTAAAATACAACTACCCATATTTATACCAGGAGCCCTGGTGGTGCAGTGGTTAAGAGTTCAGCTGCTAACCAAAAGGTCAGCAGTTTGAATCCACCAGCCACTGCTTGGAAACCCTAAGGGGCAGTTCTATTCTGTCCTATAGGGTCACTATGAGTCACAGTCAACTCAGTGGCAATGGGTTTTTGTTTGCTATGCTTATACCAACAGAAGTGGAACTGATAATCAAAAACTGGGAATATGTTCTTTAAATGCCTTTTTTGGGATTGTATTGTATTTTGGAGTAGGTGTGCCTTATTATTTGGTTTAGTCATAGGCTAATCAAAACCATTCTGCATTTTCTGAGTACACATTAGCTAGAAATGAGATGAATTTTCCCTGATCAGACTTGCCCTGACCAGATTTGTGCAATGTAGCCAGGGAAGCTCTTGTGGGATTAAAGCTTTCCAGGAGAAAAATCACAAAGTGGATAATCACAAATTGGTTATATTTATTTTGATAACTGAGGCACTTCACAATGTCTCTTCTCACAAAGTTTAAAGTACATGTGAGACATTCTCTAGTTGACTCCAGCAAAATTTCAAGAAAGAATTAAGAAAGACAAGTGGGAAATTGAAATACAGGATGGATGAGAAATCTGACCAAGATACTTTAGCATTTCTGTTTGGAGCTGGGAACAGAGCCCAGATTCACCAACAAACATCATACAAAGTAGAATATGATACTTCCACCCTAATAATATTCCACCATTTCAATATTCAAAAAAATTAGGTCTCAAATATAAACCTAAGAGTCTGGCTAAAATTCTGAGGCAAATCTTTTTATTCCTTATGCCATATAAAACAAACATATCACAAACTATTTAAGGCTTCAAAGTAGTAAAAATATAGTCCAACATACTTTGATTATATTTCAAAAATTAATTGAAAGGGATTAAGTAATGATTTTCTCTGGGGGTAATATAGCTAAAAACAATACAACAAAATGTATAAAACTCAAAGCAAGATAGCAAATTCATGTATGGAATTACCTCCTTTAGATCTCTGCAGAGTCAAGTACTTAAAAGAAAATCTTACAGTGAATCAAGGTCTCTGATTTTGGAGTTCATTAGCTAGCTAATAATGCAGTAATTCTTTACATTCCTCTGGTGATATAGCGAGAGACTGATGGAAAAACTATGAAGGAAATGCTTAGTCAACTTAGTGTAAGATTTCATCCTCAGAACAAGGCAAAGAAACACAATAAAATCATTCATACTCAAGTCAAAACTCATAAAGGATGCGATTGTCCTCTGACTGCATCCATCATTTTAAAACATATTGTTTTTTCTACTTGTTTTCCCCACATGAATATCCTAGGATTTCTCACCTTTTTTCTTATGCAATGTCATGTACCCAAGAATATCTTAATAAATGCCATATAGGTATGAGCCAAGTCCTCAAAAGGTCCTAACCCATGAAACCTCATTTTTCACTCATCCATAGGAAATCTCACTGGTCAGCAGCATCATTAGTGTTTCTCCACATAACTTCCCCTTAGTTGGCTTCACACTTGAGAGATGTTAACAAAACTCAAATGGGAATCAGTAGTTTTGAGGAAACAACATAGTCACGCTCACATGGCTGAAAAGAAAGGAAGATGAGATACTGGCAAATGAATGGATTCAAGGACAGAAGTTCTAGGTAGGAAATAAAAGATGTAATTTTTGAAGGGTTAAAGACTCACATTATAAAGGCTATAACTGGAAGGTGCCATATTACCTCAGGAGTCCTGGGGGCACATTGGTTAAGAGTTTGGCTGCTAACCAGAGAGTCAGATGTTTGAATCCACCAGCTGCTTCTTGGAAACCCTATGGGGCAGTTCTATTCAGTCCTGTAGGGTCACTATGAGTCAGAATCGACTCCATGGCAATGGGTTTGGTTTGGTTTTGGTTATATTCCCTCAAATTAAAAAGCACATTTCAATATTTAAAATTCATATGTTTCTTCTCACAGGACAAAGTCACTAGGCTTGAAGGCTAAGGACCATAGACTCGAGAGACATCTATGTCAACTGGTATAACACAGTCTATAAAGACCATGTTCTACATCCTACCTTAGTGAGTAGCATCTGGGGTCTTAAAAGCTTGCCAGCAGCCATCTAAGATACAACTATTTGTCTCATCCCATCAGGAACAAAGCAGAGTTAAGAAAATTGAAGGCACATGGGAGCAATTAGTCTAAAGGACTAATGGACCACATGAACCACAGCCTTCATGACCCCAAGACCAGAAGAACTAGATGGCCCCCGGCTACCACTACCAACTGCTCTGACCAGGATCACGATAGAGGGTCCCAGGCAGAGCATGAGAAAAATGTAGAACAAAAATCAAATCCATAAAGAAGACCAGACTTACTGGTCTGATAGAGACTAGAAGAACCCCCAAGACTATGGCTCTAAGACACCCTTCTAACAGAATTGAAGCCATTCCTAGAGACCACCTTTCAGCCAAACAATAGGCCTACAAAACAAACAATAACACCCAAGAAGAACGAGCTCCTTAGAACAGCTAATTATATGAGACCAAAAGAGCAACATTTGCCCAAAAGCAAAGATCAGAAGGCAGGAAGGGGTAGGAAAACAGGATGAAAAGGTAACAGGGAATCCAGGGCGGAAATGGGGAGAGTGCTGACACATTGATAGGGCTGCAACAAATGTCTTGGGATATTCTGTGTACAAATCGTTGAATGGGAATCTATTTTGCTCTGTAAACCTTCACCTAAAGCACAATATTTATAAAAAATAATAAAAGGATGAATATTAAAAATAAAATAAAAATTGTTTCTAAATTTCAGTAGTGTCTTTCACCTTTCCCCTTTAAAATCTGTGATGAGGTTGACAGTACATTTTTAACTGATGAAATTATAAAATCAAGGAAATAACTACAATTATAACATGTTTCTTCTACATCAGGCTCTATGTTAGCTTACTAAAAGGGTTATTTGACTAATAATAATTTGCGTATGGAGCTACTGGGTGAGGAGGTACCCTACAGGTCTATAAGGCAGTTTTAATTATTCTCCCATAAAATAAACACAATAGACACTACTTTGAATTAAACCAAGAAGCATCTGTTTTGTTTTTATGTGTACGGGTGCACTAAGGAGGTGTTGGGAGGAAAGACTGGCCTTTTTTGCACCTTAGAATGTTATTCATTTATTTTTTAAAAATGCTAACTTTCCAGGATTAAAACAAGTGGAGGCTTTTGCCACTCTCTTTACACAACCAAAATACAACCATGTGTTCATAATCAGTCTAGACCAAAATGGCTAGCAATTTTATTTTTAAGCCAAAAATTTTTTTTAAATGCCAATGATGTAATAGAGAATTAGAATACAGTACTCTTTCTGGCTTTAGCACTAACTAGCTGTGTGTCTTTGATCAAGTCACTAAGCTTCTGTTTTTCCAAGTGAGATAATAACTTTTGTCTATAGTGTATGTTTACCACATGGGTAAAATAAGCAATTATATAGTAAGAAGTATTATGCAAGAAGCATAGGAATAATTCATGCAATTAATTTTAAAATGTATATTCTCTGCAAATGCATGAGAAACTAGAGACAGAGCTGAGAGTGTGTTATATTAAAAATAGGTTCGGGATTAAACATTTGCCTTCAATAATTAGGTGAAACCATAAACTGTGGTTTTCTTCATTAACTCCACCGGTAGTACATGCTTGCTGAGATCCAATGCACTTTTCATTAAGCCACACTGTTACAAGACAAAGAGTTGAAGAGTCTATTTTAAAACTCAAATAGTCCATTTAATTTTAACCCAAGATATTAAAAATGTCTCAAGATATCCAAACAGAAAAATAATCTGTTTTCTTTTGATTTTAAGACACTGCATTACATAAAAATAATTACAGAAAATGCAATTAAAAAATAACCAAGGATTATAGACCTATCGTAGGAAATGTTGGTTTTGCATGTGACACATGACACACATGTACACCATTGAGCAATAATACCTAGACACTTGGTCTTTGTTATTAACATGTTTTCCATAACTTCCTTCTCCAGCACCTAAAATGTGGGTCATGCTTCTTAGTCTGACTTACTACACTGTTAAAATCACCTGTGGATTAGAGAGCAATATAACATACGGCATGATAAAAAGATTCCTTTCTGTGTTCTTTCAACCAAAGAACTGAACAGAAGGGAAGGGATCATATTTTAGGTGCTTGCTTTAAAACAAACTCACTGAAAACAAAACAAAAAACTTCAGAAAACAATCATTATTAGCCAAATATG